GTCTTTGTACACATTGGGTGTATATTGTTTCGGCAGGTGCAGATGCTACAATGGAAGAGCCAAAGTCGGTCTCAAGAGAGAGTTGGAGGGGCTGGTATAAGAACGAGATGGGAGGATTTGCGCGCATCTCTCCGGTGGTTGCGGGGAAAAGTTATCGGGGCTGAGGGGATTTAGGGCGTTGGCCCTTAGTTATTATTAAAGAGCCTCGTGAAGGGGAATTTCTTTTCCTTTTCGATTTAATGGGGCTTGGGTTACTTCTTTTTTCTCTTTTTTATACGACTGGAGTAGACGTGGGTGGATCTCTTATTTTCTAAAATCCCGTCTGGTACACTTTTACCTGTTACTGTACAACGGATTTTCATTTGGACTTATCGACGGTATCAACGCCTTTTCCCGCTAGTGGTGATTGTAGGGTCGTGGATTGAGAAAAAACAAAACCACCAGTGCAGTAAACTTGTTTACATATATTTTTTTTTTTTTTTTTCATCTTTCCGAGCAGTAAAAGTTTAGCCCTGGAAACACCTTATTTTGATATCTCGTTTTTTGCGGTGGGGATAAGTACTCGATATTATACGCGTAATCCTCTGAGATGTATCGTAAAGATCCTCTCGACGCGTGGTGGGTAATAATTATTCGAGCCAAGGTATAATATGCAAAATGCTCGATCTGCCACATATTAAAAGTATTAAAATCAAAAGTTACTTCACGGTTGGCGATGTGACCACCATGTTTTTGGAGCAGTTGCGTTTGAAAACAAAAGAGAACCGTAAGCGGCGCAATATTTAATAAATAATCGACGTTTATATAGATTCCTAATTTTCCTAATTTTTCATTGCAAAATAACGTGTTGAGGGTGCGATGAAAAATCATCCAACCTCATTGTTTTCTCTTTTGTATAACTTTTAATTTCCATTTAAATAAAACAATAAATTAGGGAAAAAAAGAGCGTAAGGATTGCGCGATCGCTTCACTCTCTTTCTCTCTCGTAATTTCGCCTTTAATAAATAAACACTTTCGAATTGATTTTCACGCGCAAACGTCCCCTACGAGCAAATAAAACATGTAAACGATAAGTGCCACCAACGCTATTAGGTCGACGTATTTGTAATACCGTACCCTCGTAATGGCAGAAGGAAAAACAAGAGAGACGTGCATAAATTCTCTGTGACCCCAAAATAATTCCCAACACGTGTACAGAGCACGAGCCATTAGCCCAAAAACGCCATCGATTCCTTTTCCCAAACTAACGGAGCGCGTATATATATATACAATATATACGTAAACTTGGAGACGTACCCAAAGTCAGAGAGGAAATAACGATCACATGTTGTATTTGCTTATGGCAGTGACTCGTGTGTGACCGCGCTATAATCCCCTTCTGTACATATACTACAATACATATACCTACACCCTATTGAGTATACATGGAATGAGGTAAAAAAGAGGAAATGCTTTATATATGGAACGGTATACTGTTACATGTATACACATGAATTACTAGGCGGCTACGATGCGTTGGTGTTGCGATATTTTTTTTTTTTTTTTTTTTTATGGGCAATCGAGGAATGGGTGTGCGTTTTTTAAAATGTTGTACTCGCCCGAAGGAGCGTAATGGGCAATGACGTTTCTTCGCGCTCCAATGCAATTTAAGGTTTTTCTTTTCTTTATTCACAATAATAAGGGCAAGTATTGTGTAAAAATGTCACGCGCATCCGTTTTTACGTAACGTACCTAAATAGTATACATGTAACAGCTACGCTGAGATTTATGTTGATGGAGTCAGCCACGTTAGGTTTAACCGATTTTTTAGGTCCAGCGGTATGGTATTCGAGATATAACTTTTCGTATTTCAAATGAAAGCTTTTTTTGGTGGCATCTTCCAAATTAAATGACCCTCATATATACGATTCATCCAAGTTGCCCTGCACCTATCTACCGTGTGTTACGAGTATACTTATACAACGACGCTCAATTGAACGCTCGCGAGTTCAACGCTACATTATGTACTTGTATACGTATATGTATCTACGACGCAACTAGCATTATTGCTTATACGTAATGTACATACAAGATACACGTTCGATGACGGATTGACGATTATTTTTTATTTTTTTTTTTTTTTCACTCGCATCCCTTATCTCTCGGAGGTGATAAACTCGTCATTATTTGTTGACAAGACCGTATCAGATCTGACGAGTATACATATATGGCATATGTACCATCAGCTACTCGCAAGCTTGATCGATCATAGGTATATAAACGCCGTGTACTACGCGCGCGTGTATCGCGTTACGATTGTGTTGTATGTACACATTTGTTACAAAATTTTTGCTACTCGTTTTTCCTCGGCGCGCTGCGTCACCGATTTATACACATATACAATGATGTAGCTTTGACCGTGCCCATACAAATATACCCGATGTATACCGAACATTGCTTTGATATCGCAGCTTTCTCGTTTGATAATTGTACATGGGTATATATACAACGTATGCGAGGGGCCATTTAATGTACTACGATATGCGTTTATTTGGTGTAAGCTTACAAGGCCGTGACACAACAACACATATCTATACAAAGTAAAATACATTTGTCGACGTGTACGATGAGATCGAGAGCATTAATCTTCAAGATGCATCGTTGGCATGCAGGCAAGTCGAAAGAGTAATTTCAAAAAGTGCTCGTTACCTTTTGAACTGGAAACGAGATTTCAGAGAGGCCAGATATGGCTCTTCAATTAAAACATACGACCACTCTCGCGCGGCTTTAATTTCGAGGCTCGCCATTAGAGCGCTCTTTGGATTTGTGTATATATTTATACTCACTATATAGTCACATGTGTGATGTGTGGCAGTGATCGATCATAATCGCCAACGCGCGATATATATATATATATATAAGGAGCGCGCGGTGGCTCAGTCGGCTAGGTCGTGGATTGGCACGCGGAAGGTTCGATTCCCGGCCATAGTGCGACTTTCGGGCAAGTACCTCTGTGAGTCTCACATGTGCTTTTTCACCACGCAATCCTCCTCGAGGAGGGTTTAGGCGACCTTCTCGCAGCAAAAATTGCCTAATTCCTCCCTTACCCTCCTCCCAGTAATGGGAGGCCTCCCATCCCTTTCCTTGTCCCTTACCCAAGTGCTAAGTGCCCATAGTAGTGCCCTTATTAAAAAGGAGCCGGACGTAGAGCACTATAATCTATGTGTGTGTGTGTGTGTGTATACATACGCCTTTCGTTTTGATATATTTTAAAAACACGTGATGCACGAGGAAGAGTAGGTGTTTCTAATATTCTCGTGTTTTTTTTTGGGGGGGCCAATCGAAAAAACTGTACACGATACTCAATGGAATACGTCGAGTGGGAGGATAAGATATACATATGCGTACCTTCTTTTGTCATTTTCGATTATACCTTACTCCATTTTTCCATTCACTCGCTATTTTTCATCGAGCTTTGGTTCATCGATCCACCACCGTGTGTATATAGTATAATATCCCCGTTACTGTGAGAAATTGAATTTACTTTCTTTCCGCGCGAGGCTTTTTGACGTATCACCCCGTTGCGCTGTTCAAAAATCCTCCCGGGGGCTGTGAATTTTTCGCAACGCGGGGCAAGAAAAAAAAATGCAAAACGTGAAAAACATTTTAACGCGTTGAGGTATAATTTTATACCATTCAATAAACAGTCAATAAATCATAGATTTTTACGTTGTTTTGTAAACCCATGCGTATATATATATTTGAATTTCTTTATTTTCAACCAGTTATTTATGATGTATATACCAGTATAATTTACAGAAGAACGATTTTCATGAATATTTCACGCGATAATGAATGAATGAAAGTCCCACGTCCGACCGGACCTTGAATATTCTCTACGTCTTTTTTTTCCCCCCATAAAGAAAAAAAAAAAAAAAAAAAAGAAAGCACTGCCCCGACGCGTGACTGCGCACAAAAGCGAAATACGACTCTGGCTTGCGTGTACTTGTCATTTTATCTTCATAAATATACAATTATCGTCAAACTGTGAGATGATGGAGCTGTATCGGTGGCTATTCGACCGGAGAGCTGTGAAACATTAATTTGGTACGTATCGGGTGTAGTTACATTGGAAAAAAAATGAAAAATCACGCAACCGATCGATAGGAAATCGGTTCATTCGCACCTGGGCGTAAAAAAAAAAAAAATAAAAAAAATAAACACGATGGGATTCTCGAGTCAACTGTTACCTATATTTACACGTTCGATCGGCTTTCTGTCGCGTGATTTCTGGCAATCGAGGTGCGTCGGCGTGGCGAATAGTTGACACAATAAAGCGCGCCTTGGCTGGTATGCTGATGTTGATTGTAATATTTCGTGTGTACAATGCTGCGTGATGTGATAAAAAAAAAAAAAAAAAAAAAAATCCCTACACGGGAAATTGTACAAATGACAAGCAGTTTTTCAAAAGGATGGAAATTATTCGTATAACACCCGCTTGGGCTTGTATGCCCAAGAGTACTCAATCAAATCCTTTCCTCGTTTTTGCTTGTTTTTTTTTTTTTTTTTTTTTTGTTTCGGGTTGTCCGTAAGATCGATTTAACACGACCGACATTTTTTACGTTTGATGGTAGATTTTTTTTTCCCGTGCTTTCTTTTGTCTCGATGGCGGAGAAAAAATTCATTTGATCGATAAGCAGTAATTTGTAAGACTCTTGTGATGTTTTCATGGCTGCTTTCTCATCTTGTGTGATAACACCGAAGTGGTGCTCTCTTATGCTGAGCACACTACTACGTGAAAAAAAATGGACAGATTAATTTATTTGTATTTTTCGTTGAGGCGAGCACGTGCGAATTATCATCAGTTACGTGAACGCGATAATAAAGAAATTGTGATTACGAGGGAATTTTTTTGTGAGAGTAAATTTAACTGAAAATTCAGCAATTTATAAAGACTCAATGCCTCATCACGTGTACACAAGAACGAAGGAAAACAAGTGACAACGACTCTTTTTTTTTTTATAACTGAATGATAAGAATATTTATTTATAAAACATTTGTATATGGTTTTGTTCGGTATACCATAACAGTTTATAAAACTGTAAGTTTGGTTCGAGAATATTATGATTTGAAGATAACAGTTTCATTAAATCAAATCACACGTATTAAATATTAAATAAAACATTCGCTGTTTTGATGTATATTAGAAAATTAAAAAAAAAAGTTCATTATAGCAAAAAATCATGATTTTCATGGACCATCAATAGGTTTTACAACAATAATAAATCACATTTAGGATTTTCACATTAAAACGTTGGCGATATTACACACAAAAAAAGTATTTGCTTCAGAGAGATGGTGTCACTTACACTGTCTTCTCTCACTGGTTTCGGGTTCCGTCAGTCCCTGGCCCATCTTGATTTTTTGCCCGACCTCGGTGCAAAACTTAAAGTCCCGGGGAGCCTCAAACAGCAGTACGATTGTCGAGCCCATTCTGAACTCGCCAAAAAGCTCACCCTTCGTTACCTTCAGATCGTCGAACTCCGTGTCCTCCGAATTCTTTCCCCGTGGCCACTTTTTTGTATTCGTCACGAGATTCTGGTCTTTATAGACTCGAATAGAGCCTACATTCGTTGCACCTACGGCTGTGTAAGCCATAAATCCACCCTCCCATTCGCCAATATACACCACTCGTTCGTTTTGTGAAAAGAGGTCTGGCATCCAGCTGGCGATCCGTGGATTTACACTCAATAGTTTGCCTGCGATTAATTAAATGAATCGAAATCCATGTATATTTACATCGACACAAGTAATTTAGGTAAGGAGTAACCACAGGGTATGCGTTACTCATAAGGAACAAAACCTAGCACAAACCTTGAAAGTGTCGACGTAATTTTATCGTCCAATCCGCGGGACTGTGAAATCTGTGGTAATCACCAGGTGCTAAGTATACCGTCAACTGGTACAGCACATTTTCAGGATTCTTTAACAAACTAGTGACATAATCGTCACAAACAGTCTTATTGATGCCGCTGTCGGTTTTTTTGTCTATGCGCGGCCAATTCGGCTCGCCTAAAAAGTGTTGCAAATTATATGTTATTCCCTTGACCTGCTCAACTTTACACGAAGTAACTGGACCATAGTGTAAAACTTTGCCATCAGACGGAGAAACCTGGGGCACATAAGAATTATTTTTTGTTATTACATACAATAATTTTTCAATAGAAATGATTAAATAAAGTAAATTACGCACTATACTACTATTTTGAGCTATGATTCTGGCATCCGGTTTGAGAGGTCTTACAAAAAAGTCGGACAGACTTGGGAATTCAGTCAGTTTTGCATCAACTTCATCTAAATTAGCTTTAAAAATCTTGGCATAACAGCTATAAATCGTTGATCGCAGAGAAACTGGCAATTGTAAACTGGCAAAGCCACCCCAGACTCTGCTGGTTATTCTCAGTGGTAAGGAACAATAACACTCAACCTGGAAATCATAAAATTAACTCTTGTGTAGAAAACATTGTAAAAGCAATAAAGCACAATTTACGCATTTGCATTCAATGACACTTTATTGACTATAGCTCTAAAGTTAATAAAACACACGTGACGAAAGCGAATACTCCAACAGAAAATAAAACTAAAACACAAAGAAATAAATGTGAAGGAAAAGATTCAGTCCTACCATGAGTCCTTCGATAGGTCCTTTGTTGGTCTCGTGTCTTTTCCTAAAGTACCTCCACTGTAGCACTGCCAAGAGGTAGATGCCCAGTCCCAAGGGAATTTGCCACTGCCACCTGCCCACATACGACCTCCACGACCTTACAGACGAATTGTTGTCGCTGCTCTCTTGTGCGGTCTGAGCTTGGATAGATTGTTTACTCTTGGTAGCCTCTGTCGATTGGCTTCTCAGGCCCTGGCCTGAGAGGGAAGTCACGATTTTTTTGGCCGATCTGATGACGGCGTAGGAACACTTGTAGGTGATACGAGCTTCATAGCTGGAACCGTAATCATCATTAGGGCTTTTGAGGTACATTTTCGAGCTTATGGACGAGGAGACGGAGAGCGTACAACATTAGGGCAGAGAAGACGAGGATCAGTGCTCCGGAAGACATGAATTCAACGTTGTACGTATATGATGATTGAGCCGCACCAAACGAGTAACTATGTAGATACTTATTGTATGGAATAATAAAACTGGCATGCATGCAGTGAGTTAGCTGCAGCAGCAACGGTGCGGTGGCACGTTTTTGTAAACAAATGAAGAGAACCAGGGGCGATGAGAGAGAGCAAGCAATACTTGTGTTTTATTGAACCTTATCCTTTGCCATTATTGTACTCCGCTGCGCACAGCGCATAGCTTGTAATAATGGTATACGGATGATATGTATACGTAAGAACAGAAATCAGTGACTCATTGTATTATGTATACATGCAGTCTCTCTATCGCGCACACGAGACACACTTCTCTTCTTCTCAATACCTCTGTACTTCATTGGTCCATCACTGCCACATTTCTACAGAATACCTATCACTATTATCATCCATATTCATGGTACTTAAACGCGTTGTTACGTTGACTTTAATGGGGGAGAAAATCGCCAGATGCTCTCTGCCCTCGTGCAAACAAAGAAACAGCGAAACTTACCGTGCCACTTCGACAGCTAGTCTCGAGATCCTATTCATCGGCATCGAGATATGCGCGAACTGAAGGCGAGAAGATTCGAAATCTTCCCTCTTGCCAAATTGTCTCTCCCTCTTTCTTTGTACCTAATATACGCAAAGTTATTATTAATAGCTGAACTTATTGATAAGTATATTTATTGGCATTAGAGTTTTCCAGAGCCATTTCAGCAATAATGCGCCCACGACGCCCCACGAATTGGAGCTGATGTCTATATAGTTTTGCCGTTCACTGAAGCTTGTTATGTATTGTAACTATATATATATGCTAGCTCTTTTAATCCCAACTACTCGTCTGCTACTCACAGCTCACATCAGGAGGAGGAGAGCCAGGGGCCACAGGACTGGACGAGTTGGACGACTAGTTCACTTGGTATGTAGGTATTAGGTTATGTTAGTGAGTGATCTATAGGCGTCAAGGCGTGCGCATCTCTCCCCCCTTTTTTCCTTTTGTTCAAGCTGCGTTTACATTACACGTATTAATGACAATTTCCAAAACATTATCGTGTACTTGTTGAAGCTCATTGTTGCTAAAAAATGATCCTAGTAGAAGGATTATATCGATGTTGATGTCTCGAAGTATGACAAATAAAAAAAAAATTAATTTTTAAACAAGAAAAGAGTGTCATTCCTTTCATGATTTTTAATTGAGTTGTGGCTTGGAAAAATTACATTTGAAGCAGTGATCAGATCTTGACAGGGTTGCCAGATTGGGTTATATTGCAAGTAGGGCTGTATGAAAAGAAATTTAGCGGTTTAAATTTAAATTAAAAAGCAGTTTTTAGATTTTTGGATTATTTAAAAACAGAAATCAGCTATTTTTAGGCTAATGTCTTTTATAATCTCAAGCCTAAACCATCACCTGGCAGTTTTGGCACTCAAAATAATTCGCTTTTATACAGATTAAATAAGTCCAGAATGCCACACTAGAAAATAATGGAACTGAAAGACTTCGAAATCCTCTAAAATTTAAAGTTCGAAAAATTTAAGCTTATTATTTGTTCTTTCAATGTATAAATCTTAGAGAATATATACGTGGAGGAAGCATTGTATGCTCCGACCGCGAGACGAGATGAGAGAGACAAAAGACAAATAGCAGTTCAACCTTTTTGTGTCTTACACGCCTCTGATTGGTTGGCCCCCTTCCGTATATATAGGTGTAGTCGTATCCCACGAGTGGCGGTCGTGGGGGAACAGAGCAGATATATGTAACCTAAGCTCTGATAAAAAAGAACTTATATAATACCAACCAATCAGAGGCGTGTAAGAGAGAGAAAGGTTGTACTGCTATTTGTCTTTTGTCTCTCTCATCTCGTCTTGCGGTCGGAGCATACAATGCTTCCTCCATGTATATATTCTCTAAGGTATAAATGCACATTGGTCATGCCAAAAGTCGGGCCAAGCATGGGCCAGGCTATGCCCAAGTCAGCGCCATATTACAACCCCAACCTGTAGCGGCTTGTGTTGGTCATGGGATGGGCAAATGGGCAAACAATTTAATTTGGCTCGGCAAGAGATGATAATACTTACCCTTCTATACTTTGTACTCAACTTTGTGAAAATAAAAAAATAAAATTGAACTTCTGCCGAAATAATTATCGGTTCATTAAACGTACCCTAACCCAACTTTACACTGCTTAGGTGCTTGGTGTGAGTCCCGGACCTGGCGCGTCGACTCGCGTAAGACTCTGAGGATATATACCTATGTAATATGTCTTCTAAGGTAAGACTATAAGAGCTTGTTTATAGGTATTGTATAGTCTATAGTCTTCTGTAAGAGAAGAATCGGCTTCCTACAGCTCGGTCGGTCGGGTCGAGTCGGCTTGGTGTGACGGTATGGACTATATTATATACAGTCATTGGAGAGTCTCGTTTCTCCATCCGCAGTTGATGCATTTTTGTTTCGGAGTCGGGGCTAAATTATCGCCGATAAATATGCCTCAAAAGTGTTGAATACAAGCGCGTATCGCGGACGTTGACGGTCAAGTTGTGTGTGCTGTGATAATTGTTGGTTTAAAGAGTTGGTTAAAATCTGAGAGCTGAAGAAAATGGACCAGGCACCGGCAGGTTAGATCCCCTTGCTGTCTATACTGTACACCCACTATTTTTTGCCCGCTTTCATAGTTTCTCGGGTTATTCCTCTTCACCTCTTGTGTTTAAATCATAATCGTTTCGTGTGTACCTTATACGTTGAAATAAACCCTACGAAAAAAACCATACACCCGCTTTTCTCTTCTATCGCTTAAGCATGATCAATATAGTACATACACTTATACACACACGTAAAGCATCGTCGACTGCTTATTAATATATACGCAAAAGTAAGCTACAATTTCTTGTATTTTCGAGACAGATTTTGTAGTACAAGGTTTTCTGTGCTAATATGCATCATCGTTTGTATTTTTAATGTTTTTTCCTGTTATTAGTTGTGACAAAAAAAAACAAAGCAAACATATTATTTCGTCTGAATCTTGTAGTAGCACACCTATTGCTTTGGAGGTTAAGTCGAGGGTTAAATACGCATCCTAGCAATGCTGCTTTCTTATACGGTGACTCGTGTGCGTTTCGCTATTTTGCATCTTATTAATAATTTTATTCGTCTGATGTGTCTTGGTCATTTCAATCGCTTAGGATTTGCAATATAGAATCAAATTACTTTGAATTAAAAATAAATCAAGTAACTTAACAATGCTGTATAATCATTGTTTGTGTGTTTCTTAAAATGAAGAATGAGTAGTGGCATTATTAATCATTAAAAGTTAGTAATTAAAAAAAAAATATGTTCAAAATATACCTATTTTTAAATAATTTAATTTATTGACAGCAAACTAAAAACAGGTACATAATTATTCAACCCTAAATGTCATGTTCCTTTTTTCTTCTGGTAGATTTTTTTGATTTTCTTGCTAAATTTTTTTATATTTAATACAGATACCGAACTGCGTAACATCATTGACAAGTTGGCACAGTTCGTGGCAAGAAATGGACCAGAATTTGAGCAAATGACAAAAAATAAGCAAAAAGACAACCCCAAGTTTAGCTTCTTGTTTGGTGGCGAATATTTCAACTACTACCAATACAAAGTCACCACAGAACAAGCCAGTAAGTTGGAAAAAACATCTATAATTGTGCAACCTTTGACAATCTTGGGGAAGGGATAGTTTTCGTGCATCAATGGTGACAAGTGCACCAATTAGGATATAAAAGTTTTTTTGAAAAAGAAAAGTGGAGACATTTGTTGGAGTTCATTTGTTGTGGAGCAAAAAAGGAGTTGGAAATGCATAAAACATAAAAAAAAAAAAATAAATTTTTACAACTGTACTGATCTTAAACATTTTGCAATAATACGTCATCCTTCATTTGCAGTTTTAAAGCAAAAAGGAATAAATCAAATGCAAAATGCAGATCCACGTTTGAACGTTTCACAGCAAGCACCAGTTGCAGTCAATAATGTTGGTATGGCCCAGAACAATGGCCTTAATCCAATGAACATGGGTCCTAGTGGGAATCCCGCCATGGTAAACTCTGGAGCCCCTCACCCAGGACCTGGTAACCATACAAATGCTGCACCAGGTCACATGCCTAACATGCATCAAAATTCTGGCCCTGGACACCATCCTGGACCTGGACCTGGACCTGGACCTGGGACACAAAATTCTATTAACAGATCATCGGGTTGGCTTCAAAATGAGTTAGCTAATCTTCAGACTCAACAAACAACTCTGCAAGATCAAGTGAGACAGTCAGAACAAAACTTGGCAGCACAGCATGCTGCTTTAATGGCACAACAGCAGGGTCGTGTTGAGGATGCTGTTAGACAAGCTCAGGAGAGCAATTTGCAAAATAATGCCCAGACGACTAATACAGATTTAACTGGCTTTGATACTGTACTGCAGCCAATCATCGACAGTTGTACAAAAGATAGCATTAGTGCTGGAAAAGCCTGGATATTGTTAAATTCCACAACTTTGGAAAGCAATCAAGTAATTGCAGAACATTTACTGAAAAGGTACCTTCTATTTGTGCATTTCAGTTAGTTTCATTATTTTCTATTTCAAATTATTTTATGTACATAACGTAAGTATCATTAAATTTTAGAGTTATTCAAGAAACGGTTTTTAATCATAAACTTCATATTATTTATCTCGTAAATGATGTGTTGCATCATTGGTAAGTCTAGGTCTCATCAAAGGATAATTTTGATTTAATAATATTTGGCATGTTTATCCAACACAATGAGTACAATTTTTATTATGATAAATTAAATTTTACTAGTGCTCGAAAAAAATCATTGGACTTAAGAAAAGCTATGGAAAGTGTTGTTGTACCAATGTTTTGTAATGCATCATTAGCAGCCTCAGAAGATCAAATAAATAAATTGAATAAGCTTTTAAGTTTGTGGGAGTCAAAGAATAATTATTTTGAAGAAGGCATTATAGATAAATTGAAGAATCCAAGTGCTTCCTGGGCAGATTACCAAGCTAGCGTGATGTCTCAACATGCCAATGCGATTACCACGATCACTTCGACAACCAAGCAGACATTTGATAATTATCAAGCCCAACATCAAGCTTTCGTTAATCATGCATTAAGACAAATACAAAATATTGAACAGCAAAAGATTGTAATCGATAGACAACTAAAAGCACCACCCCCTGCGCCCATGGTGAGAAACATCTATTCCACCTTACGTGGGGGATCATCACTTTTACTTGAATAATAAAATTTACAAAAAAAATGCATCAGAAAATCGTAAAGTTTAAGGGTGTCAACGTGAATTTTTCAGGAGCAAAAAAATGTACCTCCACCACCACATTCTGGACATCAGGGACCACCACCAGGACCGCACCCTGATCGAGGCTCGCACTTTGGAGGTATGCAACCGGATGATCTAGGACCGCGCTTTGGTAGTGTGCACAGAGATGACAGACCGCAAATGTACGAAGCTCAGCACAGAGAAGATAGATTTAGTAATATGCAGTTTGATGACCGACCACCTCGTGATGATCGCAACCAACCCTACGGACCACCTGACGACAGAAGGCCACCCTACGGGGGTCCTCATGACGACAGGTTCGATGACAGAGGGTCACACTACATGCCTCGATCACATGATATGTAAGTGTCTTACCCAATATTTTACGTTTGAAGAGCTTTATAATTGTTTGGCATAAAGAGGGTTAAATAAAAAAAAAAAAAAAAATAACACATAATTTTTAACAAAACCTTATGAAATGTTTATAGTACAAAAAAATAATTCACTCATACCTTCAAAATATAATTATTTTAAAAAATCATGAAAACAAACTAAGTTTGTACTACTTGGCAAAATATTAACGTTTCACGGGAATATATGTGATTAACGATAATTGCTACAAGAATCTTTGAGTAATGAAATATAACTGTATTGATTGTTTTAATATTTGTAAATATATTTAATAGGGATCGGCCACACTCATACGGTGGTCCACCGCACGACGATCGAGGCCAACCCTACGGATATTCGTAAGTACTTTAACATCTCTGATTCTTTTAAGTTTCGAATCGATAGCTCGAAATGTTTTTTCTGCACCTTCTCTAATGGATAAAAAAAAACTGTCAATATGCCTTCAAAAGAGCGGATGATTATGCACTCGCTTTTCTTTAGTTGTATCTTTTTTTTTTTTTTTATTTCAAATGAGTATCGGAAAAGGCTTAAAAATTACACTTAGTGTACTTTGATTCAGACTTAGCAAATGTATTGGTAATTATCAATGTATGTAATAGAGATCGGCCTCACTCATTCGCTGGTCCGCCAAGATGCCCTCCTTCGGCTGGTCCGCATCAAGGACCACCTCCCTACCCGCCCTATAGAGGTCATATTTCATCAAGGGGTGAGTGTTATTTCATGTAGATTTTTACCTTGCGATGATTTGATTTGAAAAAATTTTAAGTATATACTTTAATTTCAGAACTAAACTCTGATATGGGTCCTCACGACGATCCAATAGGACACGGTGGTATGCCTCCTGACTATCCGCCTCATAGAGGTCATATGCCACATGGTCCACCAAGGGGTAAGTTTGTAAATTAATGTAAATTTATACCTTGCAACGACTTCAGCTAAAAAAAACAATTAAATGTGTATTATAATTACAGAACACAATAATGAAATGGGCCCTCGCGATGATCCAATGGGACACGGTGGAATGCCTCCTGATTATCCACCCCATAGAGGTCATATGCCACATGGTCCACCAAGGGGTGAGTTTCTAATCTTATATAAATTTGTACTTTGAAATAACTTAGTTGAAAAAAAACAAAAAACGAATGCGTATTATAATTACAGAACTTAATAATGAAATGGGCCCTCGCGATGATCCAATGGGACACGGTGGAATGCCTCCTGATTATCCGCCCCACAGAGGTCATATGCCACATGGTCCATCAAGAGGTGAGTGTGATATCTTGTTAATTTGTATTTTAAGTGATTTTAATTGTAAAAATAATTGAGTTTGTATTTCGATTACAGAACACAATACTGACATGGGCCCTCACGGCGATCCAATGGGACACGGTGGCCCACCAATGTCAGGCCCACCAATGTCAGGTCCACCAATGTCAGGCCCACCTGGTCATGGTGGCCCTCCCCGTGGCCCACATGGAGGTCCTATGGGCGGTGACCCGAATTTTAGCCAACCACCACCTGGCTGGAACATGCCACCTGGTGGTGGTGTTAGTGGCGGTATCGGTGGTCCTCCGGGGGGTCCTGAATCATTCACTCATCTGCCTTTACCTGACTTATCGAAACCACCACCGGGCTTTGGTATGCCTTCAGGCCCACCTCCGCTAATGTCCCAAGAAATTTGTTTGGACGACTTGATGCCTAGCATGCCTTACTTCGAACTTCCTGCTGGGCTTATGGTACCTCTTATCAAGCTTGAAGATTGTGAGTACAAGAGTTTGAATGCAGATGCCATCAGGCTTCCACCACCAGCACCGCCAAGTGATAGGCTTATTGCCGCTGTCGAAGCATTCTATGCATTACCTAATCACGATTCGCCAAGAGACAGGTGACTAGTTTTTTTTTTTTTTTTTTTCTTTTTTTTATTGTTTTATATTGTTATTACGATTATCATATTACATTATCTATTTGCATTTCAGTGATGGTTGGGAGAAGCTTGGTTTATACGAATACTACAGAGCCAAGAACGCAGCACGAAAGCGCAAGGAAGATGACATACACTGTGGGCTCAGGCCAAAGTCCAGATCGCCATCGCCGATAATAAGACCCCGTTCGAAAAGCCTAAGTCCACCAAAGAAACGATACAGAAGCAAATCACGAAGTCGATCGAGGTCTAAATCTCGAGAGAGGCCGAAAAGTAGATCAAGAACGCCACCGCCAACGCCTAATCACCGACGAAATAATCGTTCGAATCACAATAATCGGAATCGCAGAAGGCGAAATAGTGGTAAAGGTGATCAAATGCAACAACAACAGCAGCATCAGCCACCACCCACGCCAGACAGAAGGCTCGAGCGATCAGAAAGGAGTCCGACACCTCCTAGTTTCCTGTGAGTACATTTTACTTTGAATTTCATATTTTTCAAAATATTTTCATATTCAAGAAATCCGTTTTCATTCACATTTAAGCTTTACTCGATAAACTATTACGATAATTGATGTATAAATTACAGAGGGTCGATGTACAGCAAAGCTAATCAAGAAATGTCTCTTGATGAGAGCAATAAAGGCCACCAGCTGCTACGTAAAATGGGTTGGGGTGGTGCCGGTCTCGGTGCAAACGAGCAAGGCATCGAAGCTCCGATATCGGGTGGTGAAGTGCGCGATCGAACCGATCAATATAAAGGCGTGGGTATAAATCTTAATGATCCATATGAAAACTTCCGTAAAAGTAAAGGTCAAGCCTTTATTACGCGAATGAAGGCGAGGGCCGAGGAACGTGCCGAGGAAAGGGGGGACAGAATAAAAGATCCAGATAGTAAACCAGTGTAAATCGAAAGACAATTTCTTTTTTTTTTTTTTAAGTTCGAATCGTGTGCGCATTTACCTTCTCGCAAAACAAATCATACAGAAAGGCGTGTATGGAAGTGTTATGATTGAATGTTTTTGAGATTAAAAACTGTTAAATAATTATTGTAAAATCGTGAAAAATGTCACTTTTGTATGTCTGCATGCGAGATATTATGTTATTAAGAATTTTTTAATATTTGAAATCTTGAATGTATATTTGGTAAGTTCTATTTGAATTGTAAGAGTAAAATGTTTGAATTAACATTGATTGACATGTGCGTGAGATTTTCAAAATCGACTGTAGGCATAGACTTTTTGGTTTTTACGATGATGAAGGGAAAAACGCTTTCCTATTGATTAATTTTTTAACCAATTAATCATTTAATCATGGTTAAAACACTCTAAAACCTCAGAAAAAAAAGGTATCGAGCCAATGAACTGTGCAGAAACTTGAATTTGTATCTATAGTTTTAGCGATAACTGATAAAATGTAACAATAAATCCGAAAACTTCTTTATAAGAATTTTTTTTATTCAAAATTCTTAATCCTATCGAGTAGCAACATATGTTATCTATAGCACAGAAAATTTAATATACCCTCGTTAAAAGAAATATATATTTCAGTATTGCCTTTTCATTATGCAACACCAAATATTTTTTAGTAACGAAAGTTTCAGTTTTTTTTTGTCTGCCACTTAATAATGCGTAAATATGTGAAGATAAAAAGCTAAAAATGTAAGTTTATCATTTTCCATAGATTTTCATGTACTCAGTGAATTTTCGTTCAACATATCATCAGGCATTTCTGTACACCAAAAATTGCAGTGCTTCTCTCGTAAGTCAACAACTCTATGTCAAACTCAGACGAAGGCTTGGTGTCAATACACATCATCGGTATATAGCATCACTTTTGATTCGAGGATGGAATGCATCGCTCGCGAAGCATAGATCTGTTGATGACGAGTCGGACTAGTTAATGGCAGCGCTCGCTAAAGCTTTGAAATACATTCGGTTGTCACGTGTTGATGTAGGTAAGCAAACATTTATATATCCATATACGTTCGCACATAATGCGGCAGCCATGAGCCGCCAAACGTGACTATTTTGAATGGCTCTCACGTTTTCCGATATATAGCGCTGCTCCAGAAAAACAATGATACGTAACACGCAAACACGTCCGCTGTGATAACCCGCAACGATTATAGTATGTGTACATAATTTTGCCCTTTTTGTTGTGCTTGACACGCAATCATTCGTCAACAAGTGAGAATTTGTACAAGTCGTTTCCAGTCGATGCATCCTCAAAATTGTTTCTCCAGTTGCAATAGTTGTTGTAGTAGGTACATATTTATACTTTCCTCCTCAACAGAAACCATCTCGTCCCGACCGGAGCTCCCTATGTACATATACAAAAAAATTCAATTATGATTGCACGGGATCCCTGAATTTGCTTCCCATTTCCTCAATTCTTCCGTGAAAATACATCTTTCCTCCTGCAATTACGAGATTATATACGCTCAAGGTATATAACATAAAATGTGCACGTGCACCGGTGCATCATTCTCGCTTTGTACATTATAGCATCCAGCTCTCGCGATCGGCACATCGAAACCTATACTGTACTCGCACGTACATATACTCTCTCTCTCTCTCGAGAGCCGTCACGTTTCTCTCTTTTGCACAAGCATATAATATAATATATCTCGACTCCTCAAGGTTGCGGACGCGTGCGCGCGCTCTAACGTTGTTCGGCTCTTCGTTGTTGCCTTTTGTATTATTAAAAAAAATTTTTTTTTTTTTTTTTTGCGCAAAGTCTGGAGTCCGATATAGTACAATATCGCGCCTTGCTCGAAGACGCTACACGGAAAGTTTGAGCGCGCTCTCTCTCTGACACGTTTAATTATGTAAGCGTTTTATGTTCGTCGCGTTGCTGATGATGGGTTATTCGTTAGGAAACGTTCGAGAGAGAGCGGGCCCGTTGATGCCTCCGAACTGCCGATTTGTGCAGTGGAAATTCGAAAACTCTCAAGGATCTATTTTCGTTTTTTGTGTGCGCTATACAATTTTCACGGATATGACTCGTACACCGATTGATTGCGCTTCACTTGACATTGCTTGGCTGCTGATAACAACAATGTCGATTGGGTACACGAAATCGTGCGTATCGCGTCGTTAACAGTTCAATGTCAAAAACAAACGATCAACAATATATACATCACCCATATGACTTGGCTACACGTTTTTTCATGCCATAAATGTTGTAAATCGGCGTACGTCCACCTGGTGGTGAAAAGAGTATACAATATGGGGAGCAATCGCACAACTCGAGAAAGAAAAATAAATAACGCCGGGTCGCCGGTCTCGTGATAATGTTTGCAGTTACTCGTGACGCGACTTGAACGTCGGTGCTCAAGCTATTATTAGGAACAATGCGATATGCTAATAAGTTTACGATTACGCGTCGCCAAGCAAAGGCAAATTTCGAATTTCAATGCATACCGAGGAATCTTTTGCGTTTCGTGAAAGATTCGTGGTTGTCTTTGCAATGTAATGTAGAAACAGCACGAGCGACGTATATTTTCATCTTAATCGTTTGCATTTGGAAAGCTTCATCGAAAAGAAAAACATATATTCAAATAGAAAAAAAAAAAAAAAACAATGTTTTCGCTGTAACGTGGAAAATTAACTAGTTTACACAAGAGTCTATATGTAAAATTATTATCACTCCATTAGCCGCGAAAAATCGTTTTACAGCATTTAACACATTTATGGGACAAATAATGAAACAAGATACTTGTGGTTTTTAAAAAAAATTTTAAAATTTATTCATTTATTGTATGTTCTGAAAAAAAAAAAAAAAAAAAAAAAAACATCAGTTTCTAGGTGTATAATGTACTGCTTCTTTCTTTTAGAGGGTCGATGGCGGTACACGTGACCAGGTTCCTCGAAGAAATCATTAAAAAAAACTTGGCGCGTTGGCAAGGCGGAAAAAATTTTTCGGAAAAAGCCCTTGCGGTCTGGTGTCGCGTGTCCATGCGTGGGACAAAACGTTGCAAGTCGTAAAAGTCCGCGAATCCAACCGCAAAAGTACGCTGTTGCAACTGTACTGACCAGTGCAAAACAAAAAATTTTGTCGGGAGAAAGCGTCAATGGAATACCGCAGGCGCGCAATGTATCCACACATTACCCCCGTAGATACAAAAAGTTACATTGAGAGAAAATGTCCATCCCGAGTCGTATAGGCAAGCAGCATAATCGAGCATCGAGTGTCGCGTGTAGGTATATGCTTGTATAACGCGACGCGTGTAGTTGACACGCGTTTTCCTCCATAAACGCCCAAGTATATAGGTATTTATAGATTTGCACATGCTCCCACCACGCGACGACTTGACTCATTTTCTGTACAAATAAAATATGTATCGCCCCACACAGGATGACGATTGTAACGTTGTGTTCAATTGTGCGAATGATAATACACGTGATGGGCGAGAGAACGAAAAAAAAAAAAAAAAAAAAAAAAAATTATGAATGGTATCAAGAATAAACAACAAGCAATGCATGATCTGCGTACAATCTACACAACATATACATAGGAAGCAAAAATACATGAAAGTGAGTACGAGTGCAGGGTGGAAGGGGGCTGGACAATCGATACAGCGGGCAGTGTGTATGGGGGAGAGTATCGAGAGAGAGAAGCTGTTTGCCGCGTTACATTACACGTTACACGTGACTCCTCTATACCCCTGCCGTATTGTATTGCCACTCGGACGGCGCTGGTACGCTACGCGGCACAGTCGCTTATACTCAGGCGGTCGCGGAGAAGGTACCTCACCTGCACTTATTTTGCATTGTATATTATATACCGTGTGTGTGTGTGCTACATATATACATATACGCTTTCGAGCACACCGGTCTATATACTCCCTCCCTTGCCGATTGGCTAAGATTCTCTTGTTGCGCGTGTGCTTAGTTTATGAGTCGAGGGTTTTCCTTTTTTCCCCATTTGTTGTTCGTTGTTCACTTTTTTTTTTTTTTTTCTTTGCTCAATTGATTTTTCAAGTGACCGTGTACGGATGAACATACTTTTGGACACCGGAGACATGGGATAGCCAGAGCGAAAAGGCCAGAAGGAGAAAAAAAAAAAAAGATCAAGGAGCGGGACAGCCGCCAAGCTGGGATAAGTAGTCACGGACTGTACTGGTAGGACCAAAATGATTTTTCTAACTAGCCACGCGCACCACATATGAGCACATTAATTTGTCCAAGGTTCCAGATATCTCGAATTCCTACGGTTCTTTGTTTTCACGAATTGTAGCTATCGTGCCTACACTCGACGATTTTTCCGAAATAATGCCCTCCCCCCCCCGTAACTTGAACTGTAAGTATATATTTTTCGTCTATATACCTTACCGTTGGATTTGTTTCACTTGTACGCTTTCAGACGAATTATTCACGTGGTGTGAAAGAGTAAGTTGGATCTTCCATCCGTAAGTTGTTTTATCTCTGCGCAATTTTGTTTATATATACGTGCATGCCTATATATTTCTCTTTCTATCTATCTATCTGTACGCATTGCTTCGGCTTTTGCACTTGATTGTTTCCTCAACTCTCTTTCACTAATTTTTTTTTTTTTTTTTTTTTTTTTTTTTTTTTGGGAAAAAAATTTTTTTTTTTTTTTTTTTTTTTTTATCTCGAGAAGCAAATTTCCTTTATCTTTTTTTCTCTTTTTTTTTTTTTTCTCTTCAATCCAACGAAAACGAATTGCCATTATACCTATAAGCTATACCAATGGAGCCTTTTTCAAACCATCATCGCCTCGCTTGCAAAATCACCGAAAAAACACACAGGCATACGCACTACAAGTGCACACACACACATATACAAATATTATATACACGAGCAGCGTACGTATACGAGTGTAAAACAACAAAGCGAGACTGAGAGAGAGAGCGCGCCGCGATCCACGTGCGGGGCTCGACCAGCAGCGCGGAAAATACGAGAGAGAGAAGGGCGGTCTAGCCAGCGGTGGTCACGCGGCAGCGCACGCTCTCGGTCCCCGAGCCGCACGTGCGCGCAATACGTGCCTATACTCTATATAAGTACACACACACACACACATATCTCTTTGCCTCTGAACGCGTGTTTTCTTGTATTATATAATATGTGCATGAACGGTGGATCAGGGATACAAGGGGGTGATATATGCGTGGTTGTTGGTGCGAAGGTGGCGGAGGATTTAGTGTATAAATATAGTCGATACGCGGGGAGGAAATGACCACGAATGATGCATTATTTTTACCAACCACTCAATCGCGATATTTGTCCATCATATCTGGTATACAGGAAATGTTAATGGCGTACACCGGCCTATTGTTTTTTTAGCTTGGCAGTAGTCACGTCTTGAATTAGTCAGACGGACGGACGCCTGCACGTGTCAAAAGCCACTGCTACTATATATATATACACACTTATATCTATCGCGCACATCGTCTTCTCTCCTCCGATCAACAGCGCAATTAGCGCGTCGCGATGACAATGATCGGTCGCGAGCGCACGTTGCA